TTGAGCGACTCCTTACCCCAGCCCCATTTTGAGTTGCTGACAGCACCGATCACCTTCATTTTAGAGGTTGCACTTTTGGACACCTCCTCAATGATGATGACGATGATGATGATAATGATGATGGTAGTGGATGGTGATGTTGCTGTTGCTTTTTAAAAATTATTTTTTGGTTTCCTGAATGGGCCTGGTGGATTCCACGAAGAAATCTTCGAGCGAGAGCGAGGCTCTTTTTTGGCTCTATTGTCATGATACTCAGAGGCACATCCACTCGTCTAAATAACTCCATTCGAATTGCCATTGTTCCTGGACATTCAAACATATGTTTAACATCCTCCTTTTCGTGGTTGCATTTTCGGCAACGTGGGTTGAGCTCTTCATTCACAAAGTTCTGATACCATCTCCATGATGGTCCGACCGCTAGCTCAACCTGGTCCCAGCGACATGTGATAGATTGTTCCTGCGTATTGGAGTACCCAGAAAACACATCCTCCAGGTGCTGGTACTCAGCTCTGCATGGTGGGTCTCTGATTCCCCTCTTGATCATTGGAAAGACTCCCGTGTATGTTATTGGTCGTCTGTCTCCTTCAAACTCTCTGGCTTCACAGGCAGCTTAGTCTGCTGCCTCGTTTCCTTCGATTCCAACAAGGCTTGGAATCCACTGGATCTTTATTGTGGTTGTGGTTTTACTGAACTTGCGGCGCAAATCATTTATATCTGGGCTGTTGCCTAGCACCCCTTGCAAAGGGACTGACATTCAGTCAGGATCAGCACTTTGGTTCTACTATGGCAATTGTTAGCAATCCATTGTGCAGCTGACATCATTGCCTGGCATTCCTCGTCAAAAGATGATGTAAGGAATGCACCTTTTGTTTTAATGATTTCTGTTCGTGGTGGTTCATCATTTATAATCACCACTGCTGCTGCTCATCTTGCTTTCAATCTCATTTCGAAAGTCTGGCCAGTTCACTCTGTCGCTTCTCCAGCACGGCACCTTTGCAACGATTGATTGATGTTTAGTTGCACTATTCACTACAATGATGATTGCAGAATGATCAGAACCACCGAGATCATCATCCACCGACCATACACATTTGCTCTTCCAGACACTTCCACATAGCGTGACATCTGGAGAGCTGCCAGCCTCTGTTGTTTTGTTGATTCGGGTGATAGAACCATAATTCAGGGTGTCAAGCGATTTATGACACGCCCATTCAACTACATCTTCTCCTCGTGCATTCTCTGGCTAAATTTCACTCCAGACTGGGGAATGCGCATTGATGTCACCGCTGATGATGCCGGGTGGCGACACTGGGATGCTGTTCAAATCAAGCTGGATGGTTTGACCTCTACTGTTCTTGGATGGGCAGTAGACATTAGTGGCAGTTGTCCAGTTTTTTTTGTCATTCTTATCCTGATGGTCAGCGATTCTTTAACTGTCTTCGCCCTTCTGTCCACTATTTCATACACCAGACTATCTCTGACATAGTTGATCAATTCTCCTCCCCGGGCGCCCTGCCTGTCTTCCCGAATCGCTATGTAACCTTTGATATGTGGGGTTCTTTGTCCATTCCCGAGTTTGCTCTCTTGGATCATTGCCAAATCAATATCGCGCTCCTTAAGCCTCATCTCGAGTTCTCCAACCTTCGTCTTTATACCATCGGCATTCCATTGAAGAATGTGCAAGCATTTCTTTTCAGATGGCTTCATTAGTTTGGATATATCATCTATTGAATTGTCAAGATTTGGCATAGGAGCCTCAGGCCGTGGGGTTTGGGCATCAATGCATTTTCAAAATGTCCACTTGTTCAGACGTCTTTTCATCTCTTCATTCGTCATCTTGCAACATTCTGGCTTCTTGTGGCAACATTTCCCACACTCAATAGACCTCAAGCACTGAGAACCTCCATAAGTTTTACGGACAGTCTCATTGCAACTCAAGCAATATACTTTAGCAGAGCTTGATAGGATTCCTGTTGGTTGGTCGCTACTCAGTGGAGGCTCACCTTGGTGGACACGGCATGTCCATTCTTGCCTGGAGCTCCACCTACAGATACCATTATTTTTTGGCCCTTTCTTCACACCCCTCCTGATTATATATCTTAGCTTTTGGTAGATTGGCTTCGCTAAATGAAACCCTACACTCGTTACACCGCACCGACTCCTCTGTTCAGTCTGATCTTTCTGTAACCAGAATAGATTGTGATTTTCCCAGTCTTGATCTGAGGATCAGGAATGCGGAAGTCAGCGACTGGACGTCTGCTCCCGCTCTCCAAAAACACGCTGGGACGTGCTTGTTGCCAAAGGGCAGGTCTTCGTGATGGCTTCTCCCTGATTGGCGAGTAGAGGTGCCTCTTTGCAGTGACTTTGGTGTCGTCTGCAGAGCTTCCCCATTGGTTGTGGCTGTCTTCGTTGTGAACGATACTCCCCATCGTGAAGAGGGCGTCTTACCACTTTGAGTACCTGATGATGATGATGATGATGATGATGATGATGATGATGATGATGATGATGATGATGATGATGATGATGATGATGATGATGATGGATTGCATTGTTTTTTAAAATCATGTTCCTGATGAAGCTCATCAGGGCGAAACGTTAAATTTATCTCATGATTTGCCACTAAAACACTCAAGTCTTCACCATTTTTTTTGGTTGTTCAAATCGTATAATTGTGCTTACAACAATAACCATGTTGGTGATGATGATGATGGTGGTGGTGGTGCTGCTGCTGCTGCTGCTACTGTAGCTGATTCCCCCCCCCCCCCAGGTTACTCACGTCTCAGAAAGGTAGCTTGGGCGACGAAGACGGAGCAGGAGATGAGCAGAATCGACGTGGGCAGCAATCTCATTGTGAAAGAATTAGTTCGTTCTTTTCGGTTTCACTGGGAATTTACATTACAATAAGGAATCGTACGGCTGGAAAAAACAAACTTGAAATTATTGCTTAAAGAATTTTTAGACTGGTAAATTCCCTTACTTAAAGAATTGAAATTTATAAGATTGAGAAATTTATCTTTAATTTTAGATAAAGAATATAAAAAATTGGTGCTTTGCATTGCAAAAATAAAATGAATTAACGGATTGAGAAATAAATTGTATAAAATAGGCCTAAGATATAATGAAACTAAAAAATCAAATTGAATTATAGGACTCAGAAACTGACTTGCACAAAAGAGTTATAGTACTTGGAAACAACAATCAAAATAATAGCCTTATGGACTGAAACATTTCCTTGAAATTAAGGATTTTAAGTCTGGAAAATTGCAATTATGAAAAGGAATAACAAGTATAAGACTGTGAAATTACATTACGATGAAGAATATGTGTGTGAAAAAATACTTTTAGCAAATGAATTGTACGCCTAGGAAATTAGATCTAGATCTATACTTATTTTATAAACAGGGAATTTTTAGACTAGAAAATTGCATCAAAATAAAGAATGATAAGTCTGGAAAATTGGGTCACAAAAATTTATACGGCTTAGAACGAAAATGCATTGAAAGCCTAGTAGGGGCCTACGTTGCAAAAATGAATTAGTCTATTAACTTGGAAACTGCGTTGAAACATTGAATTATAAGACAAGGATGGTAAGTAAGTCAGTTTATCCAGTGTTTATGCCATTAATTGACCCACATCACATCATGCAAAACACTCATTTGTTAAATAAAGTTTCCATTATGAAAAAGTACAGTTTGTGCACATATTTCTTATCATGGGTCAAATATTGCATGTTTCAGTCAGTGGGCCGAGTCAGGTTGTGAGGAATTTAAAACAAAATTCCTGTGACAGATAAAACTTGGACAATAGAAAATACATACAAAGTGAAATTCATCTCCAATAAGAAGGGGTTATTTCAATAACGTGCCTAAGTCACACTAGGGTAGTTTTGAGAAAAAGGCCAAAACCTGTGTCTCGTTAATATAGTATTGCACTGGGAAATGCGAGCTAAAACAGAGAACGTAGCTCTGAAAATCAAAGATACTGTCTCCATAGAAGGCTGACAGGGTGCATTCCCCTTTCTATTATCATCATATGCAAAAATCTCGATTTTCGCAAATAGGTACGTTATTGAAATGACCCTTTATTTCATGAGAGTTACACCTTTCATTCGCACATAGCTTAAGGGTGAATGTAAACAACACAAGACTGGGATATTGATGTGCAAAAGGAGATTAATCATAAGATCGCCTGGCCCTTTTTTAAAAGAATGTTTGGACTGTCAACTTCGGCGACTGTGGTGTAGTGGTTAGCCTACTGGGCTCGTAACCGTGAGGTTGCGGCCTCGGAGGTTCGATCCGCGGGTCCGACGTTATGTCCTTGGGACTGGCGCTTTACAAAAAATTTGCTCACTTCATCCAGGTGGGAATGAGTTCCCAGCCATTGACAGCGAAATATCTTGTCAGTATGGTACCATAGTGTTTTAGCGCCTATAAATGGCAGCTTGCACTGTATGCTTCCCATGAAGTTGAGTTTGTTTCAGAATGCTCCCAGGTCTGCAGGGGTAATGTAATACATGTAGTAGGCCAATAGATTGTCAAGCGTGCAGAGCTTGCTGTAGAGCGGGAATTTGTGCTATACAATTAATGCTTTCTATTATTAGTACAGATAAGATAAGATAAGACACATCTTTATTGTCCAGATCCTGGCACGTTTAGTGTTTCACCACGTACACACATACACCCACACACAGGCACACACGCATGCACACACACACACACACACACACACACACACACACACGCAC